AATTTTTTTTATTAAATATACTTTTTTTGGTATGTAAAAATTTAGATGAGTTAAGTTGATGGCTCACTAGGACTAAGGCGTGTTTATATATCCTTATTATCTGAACTAATTTATAGCTATTAAAGATACTTTTTAACTAAAATATATATACTATGCGTTTTGAGGAATCACTCAAATTACTGAATTAGTGTGTGTCTCGCAATTCATAAATACTTGCAAAATTATGTTATACTTGCTAATCAACGCAACGTACACACTGTGAGAAAAAGTAAAAGAATTTAATGATATGAGAGAAAAGGAACAAAATGCCAAGTTGCTGTCATGGGCAAGAGAAAAGAGAAGTCACGGGTTTCTTGATTCATCCACAAATTACATTTACAAAATTCACAAAAAATATTTCTAGAAAAAAAAGAAATAGAAACAAAGTGACAATATATTTGTTTGCTTCTTGTCCCCACACACTACCTTCCCCACCTCCTTACCAGTTACTTCAATACACCTGGATGCATGCACATGATTTTGCTTTATCTATTTATATTTAAATACATACACATGCATTATTCATATATACTATAGTTTTTATTTCAAAGTTATATATATATATATATATATATATATAGGGTACGTGAATACCTAACTGAATTTTGGATACAAATGGGAAATTTTTTATCTACGAGTTGTAGATAGATTCCTTTCTCTCTAGCTAGCTATATCCTTTTTATTAATATTAATATTTAATATAACTAATGTGTCACGAGATGCATGGCTACATGCTATATAGGCAGTACATTGGGTTGAAATAATTGTAAATTTTAGCAACTGATCGTTGCCATAATTTATTTACTTTTAATTAATAAATAATAATTAAGTGTATGATTAATTAATATTAGAAGAGGCCAAACTTTAGGAATAATAATAATAATACAGGCAAAATTAAATTGCAAGTAATTCTACCCAGGCCATTAACCCAATTGAAGTTTATTACATTATCAAGTACTGTACTATAGACATTATTACTAGAGGCCTAAATTAGACGATTATATTATTAATTACATAGGCCAATTTCGCAATTATATAGTTTTAGACTTTTAATGTGGCCTATAAAGGGATATTTTCACCAAAGTGGCTATGGAATCTCCTCAGAGAGGGATGCCCACTAAGTTGCATATATAAAGTTAATCACATTATTAGCAGCCATTTATATTAATTTAGTTTATATTATCATGTTAATCACACACATTAACGATCTTGCCAAAAAAGTATACTGTTACTAAATAATTTTATAATTTAATTTTTCTCAAAATCTCACAAAGTTATTTATCAAAAACTATAATTTTGAGAAGTATGCCCAAAACAAATTTTATCCAAATATTCAAATTTTGATTAAATCAATAATCTAGTTATGCAACCAAACATTTATACTTTGATTTTCAAAATGCATGGGTTTTCTCATAAGCAGCTTCCACATGCTTCTACATTTTGATTAAATTAATTTTTCTTAAAATCGTACTTGTAAACAAAGCAAGAAAAGAAATAGGTTTGGAATGTCAACACAGAATTTAATCCAAACACACAATGGGTCCGTTTGGATTTCAGTTAGATATAATAGATTATGAAAATAATTGATTAAGTGATAGATTTTAATCATAATTGATTATGTTATAACGCAATCTGTTTGGATACTGTTTTTCTAAAATTGATTTTAACAGAATTGAAGATATTTAGATAATTTAATTAAAATTAATTTTTAGCTATATAAATTACTATATAATTTAATTTTTAAATATCAAATATTAATTTTTTAAATATACAAAGTTTAAATTTTATTGAGGAAAAAAAAAGAAAAAGGAAGAGAGTTTAATTTTAGTTTTATTAAATTATGTGCTTTTTTTTGTAATTTTTTCTTGAGCCTATTTTTGTAATTTTCCCCAACATTTTTGAGAAACGTTTATCAGGAAGCTGACCCAAGGAGCTTTTGAAAAAACACGCGTTTTACTCCATAATCAATTTTTAATTTTTTTTGACTGTTTGGATAAATTAGTTCAAAAAATCGATTCTGAGGCAAAAAATCGATTATATTGCGTATCCAAACACACTGAATGTCAACAAAGCAAGAAAAGAAATGGGTTTGGGATGATGGAGAATATTTTGCATCTCTTTAAAATAGCTCATTGTTAATTAGATTACTCCTTCCGTTAAAAAATGTAAGATATTTTTAACTGAATCTTACCGTTTAATAAAGTAGTTATTTATCTCTAAACTAATGCTATCTTTACATATTTATCCTTATTTAATAGGCTATTTCACTCTAAAATAAATATATATAAAGTGATTTATTTATTAAGAATACTTTTAAAAAAATAATAATTACATCTTAAAATATTAAAAATAATACTTTACATTTTTTAAACAGGGAGTAACTCATTTGATAGGCGAGGCGATGGCAAATGCACCGCCCAGCTATCATATATCAATATCAATATTTTTCATTCACCATATACCACACATATCGTATAATGCATCGTACTAAACACAATTGATGCATCCATTTGTCAACGCTAATCTCTCTTTTGTTTTTTGGCTTTATTATTGCTAAAAAAAAAAACTGCCACACATATTATGACTATCACTCAATTTAGTTTCTAAAAAAGAAAATATGATGAAATTGGGGCCGGAGGCGGCGCCGGCAATTGAATACATTATTTTTAACTACTTTGTTTATCTTATTTAATCTATTTATCTTGTGATGAAAGCGTTTAGTTTGGATCCAATACACACATGCTGATGTTATGGTGAAGTTTTGTGATGATTTCCAATGTTGAAAAAATATGGATACAGTTATTGATAGAATTCAATTACGAGTTGGGCGCAAGGGAATGTGAAATTAGTTATAAGTCTTGTTATGGATTTTGAACTTGTTAGTTATATATAAAATAGTTTTAATGTAGGAGGGAACCTACATGTAGAGAAATACCACGTTATTTGTGGTTTATCCAATAAAAATATGACATTAATTAGATGAGATTATATATAAATTGATTATAATATTAATGATAATAGAAAAAAATAATAAATCAAATGTGTATTCTGTTATAAGAATAAAATTAATTAAAAAATGTTACATAAAATTTCATGTAGATTATTTGAATCATTTTAATTGAATAAACCATAAATGACATGGCAAATTTAGTCTACTTTAAGTGTTTCTCCCCACATATATCTGGTATCATGGTTTGGCCCAAAAAAATCTGGCAGGACTGGAGAGAGAGTTATATTATATGGAAAGTAAGGCCAAGATTATTAATTAATTTTCTGTATAAAAATTAAATAAATATTTCTCATAACGGTCATTTAATTAATTATGTTCAGCTAATTAATTTGCAGTGATGCTGGATATTAATTTTTATTTTTAGTTCACTTACATATATACTCCCACCTTTAAAAAATATAAGTCATTTTTTGAAGGGTTGGATATTAAAAAATATAAATTTTTTTAATATTTTAAGATGCAATTATCGCATTTTTTCAAAGATGCCTTTAATGAGTAAATCATTTTATATTTATTGTAAAGTAAAATACTGTATTAAATAAGGGTAAATGTGAAAAGATTGTGTTAATTTAAAAATAAATAACTATATTTTAAAAGTGAGTTTTAATTAAAAATTATCTTATATTTTTTAATAAATGCCAGTGAACTGGTTAGGAAAATTTGTTGTTATTGATATAGTAGAGAGGACTATATTCATTATTTTTGAGTCGCTAGATTTGACATCTGAACATAAAGAAAGCACTGCAAAGCAAAACCACAATTAATTTGATGTAAAATATCCTTCTCCAGCACTAACAAATCTTATTTCAAGACCAGACAGGTTTTCGTTTTACATTGTGAACATACAATCAAATTTTTGGATATAAATATTATTAATCAAAAGCTCTCATTTAATTAATAACTTCATCGAATGTTTTTTTAATCTTTTTTTATTAGTTTTTATTGAACTTAAGAGCACTATTTATTTTACTCTCTTCATTGATGCCTCCAAATAGCCTTTTTTTGTATTTGTTCAAAGTTCAAACAACCTTAAATATTTGCTATATTCCAATTTTATGTTTTGTCCCTTTAAAACCCAATGTTTCCCATTGTACTATATATATATATATATATATATAATATAACTTATCTTATAGCAGTTTTATAAAAATTTCCTTTAAGCCAGTGCTTTATGCATCTTCATCAATAAAATATCATGATAAGTAATTATATTTTAATGAAATTATAGATCTAACCATTTGTATTGTTATAGAATTAACACACAAAAATCATAGTAAAGAAATCAAAGTCAACCTTCCGTCGAACCAATACATAGTTAAATCAATGTTTTGAATGCCAAATTAATCAAGTGAGATGTTTATGTCTGGTTTGATCATGGTTTAATTATGGTTTTGATCTTTAAACCTTTGAACCAACACCTTAACTTGTTTAATAATTGATTTGATTTATAGTAACTTGTCAAAAATGTGGCACGACCTCAATTAAACTGATAAAGTAACATACGCATAATTTGAACATATATGATAACAGATAAAGTTGGCAAAATTTTTATGAAAAAAAAAGAGTTGAAGAAAATATTTGCATCATCAAGTAAATTTTGAGGGAAGAAAGAAAGGTCCAAAGAGCACCGCTTTGGGGCCCCTTCTTCTCTAAACGTCCTTTTCTGCCCTTAAAAGTTTAGAACACTCTCAACTCTCTTCCTCTCACTGCAGATTAAACTCAACCCATTTTCAGAGGAAAAGGTCTAAGAATAAATACAAATAAACAATTTTTCATGGACTATAATTATATATCGAATTAATCTCATATTTGCCCGCCACTAGTACACCCGCCAATTAATACACATAATCTTACTGTGAACCCTGTGGGTATAAAGCGACAATCTAATAATGAGTATACCGAACCAACCAAGGACTCGTTAACTCCTAATTTCATAATTAACTACATATATATATATATATATATATACTTGTATTCCTCGCTGATTCTGTGCATCATCATCGTTATCACTTTATGGCAATTGCAGCTTCAACCTCATCGTCCACCATGAAGATCACCCATAGCCACGACAGCCACAATATTAACTACGACAAGAGGAGGCCGCCGCCGCCGGCAGAGGTTGACGACGACGATGTCGACGACGGTCACCAGCATGACGTGGTCATGCCTGGGTTTCGCTTCCACCCAACAGAAGAAGAACTGGTCGAGTTCTACCTTCGCCGTAAGGTGGAGGGCAAGCCTTTCACTGTTGAACTCATCACTTTTCTCGATCTTTATCGCTATGACCCATGGGAGCTTCCTGGTATAATACCTTTCTCTCTCTCTTCTTTGTTTAGATATCTATATATCTATATATCTATATTTTATGTCGTAGCTTGATTCCCTTCTCTTCAAGGAACCTTCACATGAATTTAATCACCTCTTTTTGCCACACAGTCGTAAATATAAAATCAGGCTTCCCTCTTCTTGAAGGAATCAATTCCGGCATGTGCAGATTTATCCGATGTTATAAATCATTTTGACTTACGAATATTTTTTGATGGAGCTTTTGTTAATTTCATCATCTCTGAGGACTGAGGGTGTATGGTTTTGTGTGTTGAGAGCTGCAGGTTTGGCGGCGATTGGGGAGAAGGAATGGTACTTCTATGTGCCGAGGGATCGGAAGTATCGGAACGGTGATCGGCCGAACCGTGTGACGACGTCGGGGTATTGGAAAGCTACCGGAGCTGATAGAATGATCAAAACAGATGGGCTCAGATCCATCGGACTGAAGAAAACCCTAGTCTTTTATACTGGCAAAGCTCCTAAAGGGATCCGTACCAGTTGGATTATGAACGAGTATCGCTTGCCACACCACGATACTGAACGATTTCAAAAGGTATACACATATATATACAACTAATCTGAAAGAGCCTTCCGGTCTTGAAAACGATTTCAGTACCACAGATTTGAAGCTTATTGGTTAGTTATGATATATATATATATATATATATTCTTCTGTTCTCGTTTTATGGCTAGAATTTATCTTCATTTGGATCTTCGCATTTTTGGTTTGAAGCATCACTTCCCCTACATGGATCTAATTAAGCTATGATATAGCTCTCTAGCTCGTCAATAAGCTCAGACGAGAGCCATACAGACTTCATATATACTAGCCCATTTTCATGTTAATATATATGCATCCATTTTTCTCAGTGATTTATTCTTCAAAAAAGTCGAGTGGCATCCAATGAAATTTGCTTTAACTTTCAGGCTCTTAGCTAGATGCCGCTCTTTGCCATTAATGTAGGAGAGAAAAAGGCTGTGAATTACGTTGAGGATTGGATCCATTTTGTACTGATGATAATATATACTTTTCATGACTATATAGTTCAGATTAGATTTCATTCTTGTAATAATTAGTTTCACGGTTTAATTGCCCGATATTCGTAGTCTCTTCAGGATCTTTTCCTTGAGCCAAAGTGTTTCATTGTCTTGCCGTTTAAGCTCGTTTTTGCTCGAAGTCTCTCTAATTATATACTGTTTTAATTTGTAGGTTGAGATATCTCTTTGTCGAGTGTACAAGAGAGCAGGTGTGGACGACCATCCGTCTCTCCCTCGTTATCTCGCGACATCATCAAGAGCTTCGCATAATTCGCACAAGGACAAGCACAACGTCAACCATTTAATGGTTCATCAGAACATCAGATTCCTGGGACAACAATCCCATCATGATCACCAATATCAAACGGACCAGGTTGTGGATAAGATGAATCATCAAACTGATCGGGAAAACACTACTATTGATGGCACCAAGTACAACAATCTGGATCAGGGCGGAGGGTTAATGCTCATCCAGCAACCAAAGCAAGCACAAGTTCATCATCATCTTCACCAACCTCCAGAAGCAGCAGCATCCTCCTTCTTCCCCGAAGGCTCCAGTACTTCTAATTCTTCCTCGTTACCATCTAGTGAAAATATTAGCAATGCAATAATGGTGGATGATCATCATCTCCATCGGCTAGCGAGTTATAATCATCAACATCTGTTACAGTACTGCAATAACATTTATTCTGCTGCTGATCCTCCTCCTTCTCAGAGTACTCAGCAATATCACCCTAACATGCAGTTCTCTAATCTTCTGTTGCAGCCACAACAGTCAATAATGGCTCTTAATTCTCTTCCAAACTCTTTCTCTGACAGATTGTGGGAGTGGAATCAAATCCCTGAGGCAACAAACCGAGACTTCACCAACATGTCCTTCAAGTAATGATACATATATATATACTCGATATTTATATATATATGAATATGTAGACATTATATTATATGTGCTCATTTCTCAAGTATCAACACTATATATAGCATGTAGGCCCCTTCATTTTCTTACTCTCTAATTTGGTCTTGTTAGAGATTTGAATAACTTATTATATTGTATGACTCATATTGGTCACATTAATTATTGTTACAGACATTACATTAAGGTTGTAGGTTTGATGTTCTAATGACTGATTACTAGGTGTAATTTAGTTAATTTCTCATAAAGAACCATGAGTCGAGATTTGATGTACATTCGTCAAGCCAATGGAAGATGGACATTCGTTGAGAATCTCTTCAAACATTTTTCTGGCCCCATCTCCCATTGTCGTGGAGTTGTTTTATTGATTTGTGCTAAAGCAGTTGATATTACGTCTATATTGGTTAGTTTTTCTTATAGTTTTAAAAATAAATCAAGCCAATTTAAGATGAATATATATTGTTACTTCAGACATGTTTACAACAACGAAACAAAAATTTTGTGATGAAGTTTACGACAGAAGTAAATCAAGCCATATGAGAGTCACATTAATTAGACATGTCTACTACTATCAAAAAAAGAAATTCTGGTGAAATTTGTAACGAAAAATTTTCCATCACAAATTTTTGGGACAGAAATTGTGAATTTGTCACAAAAAAATAGACTCCCTTACATGCAATATGGGATAATCTATCACAAATTCGTTGCAAAATTAATTTACGATGGAATTTTTGCTCATTTCATTTCTGTTGTGGTATACACACACTCGTGTACATCATTGGCTTGATTTATGGACGCGAGGCCTATAGAATTTTTCAAGTAAGTTTTATTTGACATATTAATTTGTCCTCCACATTTGTCAGGACATTTGCTAATATAGTATTCACATGAAAATTGAAAGTATATGTAACCTCTTATCCATTTCACTGTTAAACCTATGGCCTCTCAAATTTCAAGGATTGGTCATGATTTAATTAACAGTCTTATTAGAAGCAGCGTACAGTGACAGATCGATCAAATGACTGTGGTATTTGGCATATTTAATAAATATTGGTTGGTGAGGGAGGGCTAACTAACCCCCTCACAAGACCAAGACCAATTATTACTCTGTCTTGTCTGTTTGTGGAGATTTAGATATCTTGTAATGATTTGCAAATCGGTCAATCTCTACAAGAGCTAGTAATTAATTACCCACAAACTTAACTACATATCCATTTCCAATCTTTCAAGCTAATTAATTAATTAGTAATCACCTAATTTGCAGTTTAATTTCTTTTTCATTTTCTCTGTGGATATCATTCTCTTAGTTAACCAGCTCTCCATAGTCCTGCGCAAGCAAGTTGGATTTGATCTGAAGTGCCTCTGCAACTTCATAAAAAAGCATATCGATATATGTTTTACAAATTAAAGTTAGGTTGATTAATCCTTCAAATTCATGCAAAATTCCTTCAAAGCTATTAATTACTTCATACAATGATCCTTTGGCTGCGATTGTCTCATTTACGTACCCAAGCTTATTGGATAATTTGTTCAACTCAACATACTTCAATGACAAGGCTATCCTTGCACCAACTCTCGAGTGTGTTAACCAGATAAATAATTTCATATGTGGTATCGTACCTGGGGAAGTTAGTAGAATATCTCAATAGTGACTCTGTTTACAAATCATTACAAGACAGTGACTCATTTGAGCATCTTTACACAACTGAGTTTCTATACGTGATAAATAGTTCTTGTTTACCTCTTCATAAATTCACTACAACAGAATAAGCTAAATATGACGGCTTATATTTGACGGTTATAAGTGAAAAATGATAAATAAAAAAAGTGCTAAATACTTGACGGTTGTTTCAAAACAACTGTCAAGTATTTAGTATATATTTGACGGTTATATTGGCATAACCGTCAAATATATATGCATCCCATATTTAATTTTTTTGTAAATATATTTGATGCTTGTTTTACAATAACCGTCAAGTATATTTCGGAGGACTTGACGGTTATTTGTAAAAAAGCGTCAAATATATGGTTCAAAAGGAAAAATAAAAAAAGTTAATTACTTGACGCTTGTTTACTAATAACCGTCAAGTATGTCTGTATTTTATTTGACGGTTGTTTAATAACAAGCGTCAAGTAATATATACTTGACGGTTATTATGAAATAACCGTCAAGTATTGTCTTTTTGACGGTTATTTGTAAAAAAATATCAAATATATAGTTTAAAAGGAAAAATAAAAAAAATTAATTACTTGATGCTTGTTTATTGATAACCACCAAGTATGTTTGAGTTTTATTTGACGGTTATTTAATAACAAGCGTAAAAAATGAATACTTGATGGTTATTATGAAATAACTGTCAAGTATTGCCTTTTAAATTTACGCTCCAAAACCTTTCATTTTCACATTTCTACAACTCAAACGTTTTTAAAAGTACACCTAAAGTGCTCAAAAATCATTTTCCGTCACTAAAACTGCCCAAAAACACAGATTTAGACTCGATTCTTCTTGGATTTTGCTCGTGGGTTCCATTTTTTAGGGTTTGTGGGTTGTTTGTTCATCCAAGTCTTCATTTTGGGCATTTTGGGTTCGTTCTCCGTCTTCCATATGTAAGTTTAATTTCTTCTTCATCTGTTTAATTCATTTTTGGGTTTAGTGTTTCGGGTTAATCTGACTTCAAATTCCCCTACTTGCTTCTCAACAGTGCAAAACGCGAGTTGTCTTTTTTTCCCCTTCCCCTGCTCTTCTTCATCGTCCTCGTGCTCTGCCTCTCTTAAGTAAGTTGGCCTATCCTTCTTCCTTGTGATATTATTGTCAATTGATTGTAATTAGGGAGTTGATTGGAATTAGCAATTGGAATATGAATTTTTTGTTCATTAAAACTACGATTTGTGATTGAATGTATATAGGCTTTTGTTTTCAGTTCTTTGTTAGTTCTGAAATTAAATTTAAGATTATATGAAAATTAATTTACTGTTGGGTATTTTATGAATTTGTTGAAAATTTGCTTCCCTTATTGTGATGATGGTGATTAATTTTATTGTTGGATAACTTGATTAGATATGATTGAGTTATATTGAATTTATAGGACAAAATAGATTGTTGGGATAAAATTTTTATATCGATTATTGTTGGGTAACTTGATTGAGTATAATTAAGTTATATGAGAACTTAAATGATAAAACTTTTTGTTTAAGTTGATTAATTGTGTTCTTTTTATTTAAGTTAATTAATATTTGAATTAATTGTGTGCATTTTGTTTAAGTTAATTAATTGTGTTCTTTTTATTTAAGTTGATTAATGTTTGAATTAATTATGTGAATTTTGTTTAAGTTATTTAATGTTTGATTTAATTGTCTTCCTTTACAGATAAATAGCTTCTAATAGTGAGTCTGTTGATACCCCTCTATCAATTCTAGCTACAAATTCGACTAAGGTTCCGAGTACACAAAAAAAGCTAGAGCAGGAGTACAATAACATTCAACGAGGCCTAACAATAATGGAAGAGGTGACAAAAACAAGAGCTACAGGAAAAAAATTGATGTGCAATGGAACAAGAAAGGGCAAGCAATTAAATCCTCAAAATTCATAAGTTATATTGAGGTGGTGGCAAAGACTACTGTGCCTATCACAGTAAAATCATGGCACAAAGTAGATGAGGCCATGAAGGCTCTTATTTGGGATACTGTAGCAGTAAGTTACATTTTACTAAGTATATTTTGGTATAAACTATTTTTAAAATTAATACATCTGATATGTTGTTTATTTTATTTTGCAGTCAAGATTTGACATTGATGAGAGTAGGCAAGATTTTGTCCTACAAAAGGCTGGGAGGGCACTACGGTCTTTCAGATATTTTATCACACATAAATATTTGAAAGATCCTGATGCTGAATTTGTAGCTCGAGTTCCTCCTTTATTACAGCCTTTGGTAAAACAAGAGGATTAGGATGCTTTTGTTGCCTCACAGCGTGAGAAGGAATTCAAGTTATTAATGTTTCTTAAATTTCAAGTTTGGTGTTATTTATTGATTATATGTGTATGTACTAACAAAAATTTTTGTTATTAACTCGTCAATGAATTAAGTACACAGAATTAGCTACTCGAGATTAAGAGAAAATTAGCTACACATGGCTTTAATGACAACAAAATCAGCAATATATATAGCAAAGTAAAGAGAAAAAAGAGAAGAAAAGCTTGGTTGGATCAATCTTGAACAAAACCTTTACTTTTCTACCAAACCCAAGTTTCTCCAACCCTTCTTTGGCTTCTTTTGCTCCTCCTAGATGTTCTACAACTGCTGGAGGTGAAAAATGCATGAAAATGAGGTGTCTAAGTCCTAAAAATTCATTGACAATCAAAACTGTATGTTTTACTAAAATTGTGCTTTGCTACCGTGAAACACATTTTTGCTGCAACGAACATGACGTGTTTAGATTTTCTCTTCAGATTTAATTCTTTTAATTTGAGCTTCAAAATTTTCTTTTTTGAACCCCTAAATTGGGCCTTACATGCATAAAAGTCAAAATTAATGCTAAAATTGATCCACTAACTTTTAAACACATTTTCAAGCCCATTTTCACTCACATTCATCCACTTAATTATATTTTTACTAAAAAATTCAAATAAATAACTTTTAGTTACATTAAAAACACCAATAAATTTAATAAAATATTAAAATTTATCATAAATATATGTATATATACACACACACATATATATGTGCGCGCTATAGAGATAGCAGTTACAATAAAAGTGACAGTTAAATGCGCTAATGTTCTTGTAATTTAACAGCAAATTAGTATATAAGTTTCTTGTTAGTGTCAAGTTGTAGATTTAATTCTGCCTATAATTTTTAGTCGTCAGTACTTGTTCCTTTAAATCAAAAAATAAAGCTAAATGCAAATAGCAATTTCATTTCGTGTGGCCTGCAGGTGGGTTTTTATTCTGCTCATTCTTTTAGTTTTTTTTTTCTTTTCATAACAATTCCACTGACGAGAGTTGGGTAAAAGGACAATCAGGCATTAAATACTTCTTCTTCTTCTTCTTCTTATTTTTGCTTTACGCATTTTTTTCTAACTAAAGACAAACTTATTTGAGGGATGATCGATCATTAAATATATGAGTATTTCTCCCAAGAATTCAAATTTTAGTTTATCATGTAATAAGAGATTAGCTCCTTCTATTAAACCTAATCCCATTGGTGGACTTTGTCGTTCTTGTTAAACTTGATAGGTCTCGAATTTGATGCAGCAATATTAAATTCAGTTAAATGTATAAAAAAATCATGTAACCCACGCCATCTAATAAGATAAAAATTTTTGTT